ATATAGTGGGTTGCGGATGGTGGGTTGTAAAGCCGGAAACGGCCAATAAACAAAATCATTTTACTGCAGTGGTGATGAGATTTTCTATGAATTAAACTTTCAAAAAAACCTATATTAACAAAATTAGAACTGTAAAAGATCAAATTAACTGTAAATTGCTCAAAAGGAAGAAATCATTTATATTTTCAAAGTTTGTGAACTTAAAAAATCAAGGAGAATAACTTTCTTCTCTATTGAGGTATGAATTAATTGATAATTTCAACAGTAAAATCTGTTAAATGAAGAGTATTGTGCAAAAAACAATTTTAAAACGTACATGAAGGAAATAATGACATATAATTTCTCTCTTCTGTAATCTTACATCTATAAATCTTTAAAAATCATGCTGACTTAAGACTTTCCTTTTTTATTTATTCATTTATTTTATTATCCGACTATGTAGTGCAATTAAATATTTCCTCGTGTTTATAAATTTATTTCTAGTTCAAGTATTGCGGTTATTAAAAAGTTTACTATTTGAAAGGTATCATAATGTATAAATGCGAATGCAAATTCAAAATTGTTTAAAATCCATGGACTTTTAAAACATTGTAATTTTTGTGAATTTGAGTGAATTAAACAATCAAAGACTGTACTATATTAATGATAATGTTTGCACTCTTTATATTGTTACTAGAAAATATGATGATAAAATTTCTCCAAAAGTCCATAAAAAAGAACAGATTTAACACATTGATCTACTCTGGACATGCCCGAATCTGCAGATATAAGTTTTATTTTAATTATTTTATGTGATTTTGCATTACTGTATGACTGGAACACCGCGATCCAACCCTCGGATGCCAAAAACGAAATAAAAAATATGATTAAAAGAAAGTGGCAGCATCGGTAGGCCGGATTGGCAGAAAAAATCGCACGGACCAACAGCCCTGTTGATAGGTGGCCCTCGGAGGATCTGAATCGTAGAAGAAGGGTCATCCTCACCCAATTAAGGATAGGCCATGCGAGGTTGACACACGGACATAAACTTTTTTGTCCGGCACGTAGAGAAAGGGTATTCAATGAAGGATGCAATTCCTTAGCTCCGTATAGAAAGTGTGTGGAATTGCCGCCCGATGTGAGTATCTGCTTGAGCACGACAGTATCTGGGTCTCTGGATATCTGGGGTTCCGATTTTTGGAGGAAACAGGGTTGTTTTTTGTATATATTAATGATAGTATGGTGTCCTTGGTGTGTGTTGAGAGTGAATGTATTTATTGGTGTGAATGTGTAGTGTGAGAGGGTTGTGATGGAGAATTTGGATTTTAGAAAGAATGTATGAGAGAGAATGTATTTTAAAATGAGTGAGGATGTGAATAGGTTTGCATCTAGGAACTGCATGGGTTGGGTGCTGAATTGACGAAACTGTTGACAACACCCGGAGCCCAACCTCATTGCTGGACGGATATGACCTAGGTCAGCCCGCGGACTGTCGTGGGGGGGGATCCTGAAGGCATTAATGTTTGAGACGTGCTCATAGTAAATAGTGTATTACTACGTTTGTTTTAATCTTAATTGGGTCTTTGATATAACACTGAACAATGTTGTTCCTTTTTTAATTATTTTTATTGTTCAATTAAATGTGACACAATAGTATTAAATTTTAGTATTATTTTTTTACACAGATGTTAATAAATTATCTGTATATGTTAAAAATTTAACGGCTGTCGTTGTAATTATTTTTTTAAAAATTTTAATAACTATTATTTAAGTGTGGCGTTTATATGATTGTCTAGTTTACCGTTTATCAAACTTGATCATAAATCAGGTTAATACATCTTGGGGAAAGCATTTACGTTGACCGTCTTAAGACAATTAATCGCCCTGGAAAAGATCGTGGCTGAGTAGGACGTCGTTGCTTGCTGTAAGAACCAGGAGGCCAGGATGTAATAAATTGCCAGACCGGTGAATCAGAGTTAATACCCAGTTCTTGGCAAGGGTCACACTGTAAAACCGCCCTTAGCTAATCGATTCAGTCTCCGACAAGCTCTGTATGCAGGTCGTGCTTACAAATGTTCGGCGGTGGGGAAGGAAAAAAATTATGAACGATTCCGCTACTGTAACATAGAATGAAATCGTCTCGAAATCATGAAATTTTCCCTTGGCTGGCCGCGGGATCGATCCGAAGAATTGCCGAAACCGCGATGCGCCGAGTTTCGCATGGATTTTCAGAGGTTGTAAATTTGCGTTAAATATTCACCGGTCGTACCGTCAACCCTTTCACCCTTTGTTGGGATCCTGGAAACGGATCAGGCGTTTGGCCAACAAGTAACACAGGCAAATAATAAATATAGCTTTTAAAATAATCACAATTGTACGGAGGAAAATACACGCCGAATAAGGGACAGAGGAATGTTAGAAGACGTGATTCTGCGGCCGGTTCCACCAGATCGATTCAGCCCTCAAACGCACATAGTTCAAAATAATTCCAGATAGATGATGTAAACAACCTGTTCAAATGTCTATAATTAGCCGTATTTAATTGCATTTATTAACTCCAAAATCATACCGTTACAATGCTCCAATTATCTATATTTTCAACGTTTATAACTTTTTAACACCTTTTAAATTTGCATTGTCACATTGATCAAATAATCGTATCAAAACCGTGCAAAGGAAAAGATTTGAGGTCAAACATATTAAAATTATTTCATATACTTAATAAAATCCTACACCTTATAATTTAATAAGGCTATATTGTTAACAAAATCATTTTAAATAAACCATAGTCAGTAACATGACAAAGAGCTTCAGATAAACGGTTAACCCGTGCGGTCAATTTATCAATTGAATTTATATGCGACATAAATTAATCTACGATGATTAACAATCGTTTAGGCTAAATTTTATACTTTATCAACCGTAATTGACAAATATACATCGCATATTTAAAAAAAAGTTTACAATATTTGTTTGAGACTGATTTCATCTGTTGTTAATGTCTTATCTCCGGTTTTACCGTCCGGATTAAGGAAGCTAAAGGCAAAGGGCGTTAGAACCAAGACCCGAGTCTCCGTTCCAATAATTCCAGTTTCCTGAATTTGAGATATAATTCGACAATAAATATCTCCATGAAAGATCATAAGCTTGGATAAGGTTTTTGACGATTTTCCAAGATTGATACTGTTTTCTTTTCTGACCCACTTTGGTGAACGAAAGGCAGGGGTTTTCTATTTTTTTTTCTTTTTCTCTCGAAAAACCTTTTTCGTGTCCCCTCGATTAAGTGAATTATATATTTAGATATTCGTACCGTACGTCCAAAAATTTAAAAATCTGGTCACGTTTGGCAGTAATGGTTGATAACGGGAGCCCATTCGTTCAGGAATAATCCAACGCCATTTAGACTTTTACCTCAGCCCTGATAATCTTTAATAATCCGATTTTGAAAATAACAAATGAACTCTTTAGGGAAAAAAACATTGTTATTTCTTAACAACTTTTCTTCGTATTTCAGTAACCAGGAAATCACTAACACGTCGTTTAAAAGTCGAAAAAAAGTGCATTGTCGTGATGCACTCTTTCACGAAGTTTAATTTTTATTATTTCAACTGTAATAAAGTTGAGAAATAAGCAAATTTCTTTCAAAAAGTTTGATTTGGACAAACAAAATAAAAAAGTTTTAAGACCGGTGTACAAAGTTCAGAACGAACCCCTTTTTTGATACAGGCTAATCGACGCTGATAATTATGCCAGTAGATTAAAGATTACTTATAAGTAGAGATAGAGAACAGGAACTTTAGAAAATAGATCAAAAGAAGTTCTAGCAAAATTTCATCTCTTTTTTACGTTTCACGTTTACTCTTTAACCCAGCCTCTGTTTTCCCTATAAAAACCCATTAAAAACCTCTAAAAAAAATATTAATAATAACAATACGAAAAATGAACATAAAAATGTTCTTATAGAACAAAACAAGATCTTCGTGTTTTGACTAAAATTAGACAAATTATTGCAAGATTTAGTCAGACTTTCTTTAAAAATATTTTGACGAAAATTAAAACTCCATCCCTGTCCCAGGTCGTAACTTGTTCAGCAGTAACGACGATAAAACATTTAATCATTATTATTGCCCATTATTTATTTATCCCATTTTTTATATGATGCAAACAGAAAAATACTTGAGCCACTGACCCAACTATCAAGATTTATGAGATTTACATCCTGTTGATAACAAACTCGTTAAATTAATTCACTTAATTTTTGTTGCATATTTTAAAGACTTTAATAAATACGGAAAGAAAGTACAAAATATAAAAGTTGAATTTATTATGAACAACTTAATAATAGAGTTTTGTAGTTTAATTGGCAATAATTTGAATTATAAAAGCAATTTACCTGGAGTAAAGACTAAACAGATTAATGGGCGTAAAATTAAAGGTTTAAAAACTTTTATTTTATTATATAAAAAATGTATAAAAAAATTTTTATTTGTTTTAATAAGATAGATGGATTAATTGCTATGTAATGTTAATTAATTAGCTAATAAAAATCACTTGTTTGTTGGAAAATTATATTCGAGAGAAATATCTGTATTGTATTTGAAGTTTCTTTTTCTGCTCTTGAATGGTGTGTTTATGTACTTAACTTTTGTTAGTGGTTTTTTAAGATAAAACTTTAAACAGGCCAGGAAATGTTCCTATTTACAATTTTTTTAAAGTTATAATTGTTTGAGTTTTGTTTTGCTTTTCGGGCGAGTCTGAAAATTGGCATCTATGCGGAGAGTGTCTCAAAAGTTCTGTATCGATTTAAAAATGTCGTGATTCTTATGATTTTTTTGTTATTATCGGAGGTGTTTTGAGTTCGTGGGGTGGTGAGGGCGTAAGAGAATGCTAGGGGGGGCGACGAGAGGGGTCGATACAGGGTGCTTCTCACTTGTTGTATCTCATCTTGACCCAGCGATTAGGGTGCATATTTCGAATTCCACCGCCCCATGCAATTGACAACCGGTCGAGGTGCTACTCACGCGAGTTGGGCAAGTTGGTATCACAATTGGCCAGGTTGTTCTTGGAGGCGTGGGTGAAGTCCTCCTCCTCTTGCGTGTCCCTTCGAGGGCTGGCGGGATTCTCCTCGATGGACGTCATTTCGGCCGAGTCAAGCACAACACATTTCCTCAAAGAAGCGCACACCTCTCGTGACACTCCCTGCGATCCGGGACTCGACTGGATTCTCCCAGGACTGAAAAGAGGCTCTGGCCTCTCGTCCGCTCCCCACTCGCTCGCCGTCCCCACCACCGCGCTGCCGCCCCCAGCTTTGACCCAGAGCCGCCTCCTCCGAGTCTAGTCCCTCAACGATTCTCCTGCAAAACTATCCTGAAATAATCCTCGGCCCGTTCGGATATTGCGGAAGAGGTCGCCCCACGAATTGCTGCTCTGTTTGATCAAGAGTCGGCCGTAATCAATAACTCTCTCCCCAACCCCCGCTGATCGACATCCCGTCCAAGAAACCCTCTAAGCAACTTTAAACTTTGTAAAAACTTTTAAAACCAAGCGTCAAAATTAAAGGAAAATCAATAAATTTGTTATAGGACCAAAGAAACGCAGGATCGAAATTTACGAAACATTGTTATTGAAAACAGAATAATTTCTCCGAAACAGTACGGTTTTCTTCTGGGCAGATCCACTGAATAGGCTTTGTTTGATGTTACTCATTTGATTTCACAAATAAATTAATAAAGGCAATTACGCTGTTGGATTGTTTCTTGACATAAAAAAGGCTTTCGACTCTGTTGATCATTAAACTCCTTGAATCATATTTATCGGCCAGAACACAAAGGTTTAAATAGTTTATAGTTCTTCTTTACGCGTTCGATCGCGAGTACCAGAAGGTACAGTCTCAGGCCCAATTTTCTTTGTTTTTTATATATTAATGATTTTTTGAAAATTAAATTCTCTGGAAAAATATTTAGTCATGCAGATACTTTTTTTCATTTTTTCAGGTGATAATTTAATTAATTTAACTAAAACTAAAAATAATGATAACGAAAATTATTAATTTTTGGTTAAACTCAAACTTTCTACTTTTAAACACATAAAAATGTAATGTATTACACTTTTCATTAAAAAAGAAAATAAATACTAATAATTTAAAATTTGCTTTTCATACTTGCCTATCCCTTTTGCTTACATTGTTAGATGTTTTTGTGTGACAATTCTCAAATTTGAGATTTATTTTACATATTGCCTCTTTAGTTTCCCGTCTGAGAAAGCGCTTTTATAAATTTAGAATTTTACGTAACTTTATGAAAATTGAACTCTTAAGAGCAATATATTTTTCTCTTGCAATGTCCATAATAACCTATGGTATTGTTTCCGGGGAAGAAGTAATAAACGCTACAACTCTGGATAATTCTTAAAATTATTTTAATCTTGTAACTAGTTACATTAGTGAATATAACACAAGTTCATTGGCTAACTCACATTTTTACAATGGAAAGACTACGCAATTATATAATTTTTCATTGAATTATATAACACTTTTTTTGTCTTTTAGTAAAGAGAGGTTCATCATTCGAAATGTCTAAAACTACAAAGAAGACAAACATTTATATTGTATTTAAGATATTTTTTAAAGCCAAAATGTAATTTTTTCATGATACACGTTTATTGTGTATTATGTTTGTTTGTTTTTCATTATACTTTTGTAAAGATATATTTTGTTTATTTGTCTGATGACCCCCAAAATCTCCTGCTGTCTAGGACAAGCTTGGCTTTTTGACAGCAGGCAGGGATGTACCAAAATATTTTTTTGGGTGTAAATTTATACGTAATGTACATTCTTGCAAATAAAGATTTATTATTATTATTTACATACCTTGTCCGACTAATTATTTTGACTACTTTTTTACAATTCATTTATCCGTTAGGTCTATCGTAACCGTCACGTTTACTAAATTCAAGCAAACATCAATTTATGTCTGGTCGTTTCCGATCATTCCGGCTTGCCCAACCTCGCTGCATTGGGCTGGTGGACACGTTTTTGTTGCATTTTCTCATCCAGCTTATTTCCTGATGAACCAAACTAATTTTATTAATGACCATAAAGTAATCAAAAGGCTATTGATAGAATACTTATTGAGGTCTGAAAAATAAAATAACACAGACCCAACTACAAAATAATATTCTTTTTATTAATCTTTTTTACATGAATTATGAGAGAAAACATTATTTACATACCCTTTCCATTCCATCTAATTATTTAGACTAATTTATTGCATTTTACTTATTCGCGTGAACGCCACGTGTACTTAATTCAAGATAATCTACAATTTTCAATTTCTAAGTTTCTGATCATTTCGTTTTGAGTATTAAATTCTGTTGCATTGCTTCGCCTAGCTTGTGCCCATGATCAACTGAACTAATTTTCTTGATGAAAGGTCACTAAAGGCTATTGATCGATTACTTATTGAGGTCTAAATAGTAGAATAACACACAGATCAAGCTACCAATATATCTTTTATACATGAATGATGCATTATCTTACACAGAAACATTTTTAATTTATATTTATTTTATAATTTTTCATATCATTTTTATCTTTCTATTCTTTCTCAAATTTAGATTTGGAATATTTAATTAGTTTATTTTATAATGGATTTTCCTCTATTATTAATAAATGTATTAGAGCTATTAAAGAATCAATATCGACCACGTATTTGATAAACATTTGCCAATGAATAATATTGTTAGCGTAGTATTTTTAAAATGAAGTAAAACCTAACGCCTTTCAAATTCAATCTAAAATTTGAAGTGATTAATTCCCTATCGAAGAAAAAGTGGATAAATGTTTTTTTATAATATCACTAACATAGACTCTGTTTTAAATGTTTTTCTAGTTATATTTTTTCCCATTTGCTCCTGTAAATTTCATAAACACGTCTTTATTAAAAACCAAGATAGAAAACGTAAAGATTTGATAAGTATAGGTACCATAGCTTCAATTACAAAGAGAGATAAATTATACTTGAAATATAAAAAAATTAATTAAGTTATATTTTAATAAATGCAAAAATTTATTTACATCTCTTGAAATATAAAACAAATCCTAATAATAAATTACTTATGACCAATTTTAAGAAATACAAAAATGTTCTTATTTTACTTGAAATATATTATAAAAATCCTACTATTGAATAAATTGCAATAATAATACTTAGCCTATTTTTAGTCTGGATCGTGGTAACTTACTGCTTTACTTTTAAAAAAATGAGAACATCATAACATTATTCAGGGACTACTTATGAAGCTAGTATTATCGGCCTATATCACTGTCTTAAAAATGTATTAAAATCTTTAACGATTTATATTCTTAATTAATCAATTCAGTTTTCAATCTGGTATCATTATTGAAGATGATCTTTATGGTCCTACTAAATTTAATACTCAAAATTTAGATCAAAGTAAAGATGACTGGTAAACTATTAAATATTAAAAAAGCTTTTGTTTCAATTATTCACTCTCACTTAGATTAAATTTTTAAATTTTATGAGACAGGTCGTTGATATGGAATTGAAATTGTTAGTATTTTATCTCAGGGGCGGAGTGCTAATATTAGAACAAATAAAACTAATCATTATCCAGATAATTTCTTCTGGTGTGCCTCAAGGTGCAGTTCTTGGACCTTTAATGTTTTAGAGAACATTTATATGTTGGAATCTACATTTGATTTTCCTGATGAACTTGTCCATTTATACACTGATCATAATAGAAATAACTTTAATGAAACAGATAGAACAAATTTTCGCTAATATTACATTATAATTGACAATAATTTTCTTCGCTAAAATTATACAAGAACAATTTGACCAGGTTGTTGTGAAAATTTGATATTAATGGAAATGTTAAATTTATGAATGTATTGTAGTAGAAACGGGTTATTCATTTGGAGTCTACAATTTAATATAATTTTGCATAATGTAAATTTTTTTAGTAGTTTATATCTGAAGATTATTTTTCCTTTATTTTGTTGTACTTCACTTTTTTTCCTTTGTAGCCATCATGATTTTCTATGTATGTATATACAATTTGTATCGAGAGTATTTCAAATACGATGTTATATGGGTTATAAACACCCTCGGGGTTTCAATGTTTTTGACCCATTTGTAGTCAAAAAGTAAGTCGGTGTCGAAGGCTGCTGGAATCGAACCCAGCATCTTTACGTTATGCCTAAACCGTTGCGGTCGCTGATCCCCCCCCCCCAGATATGGTTGAGAATCTTTTCGTCTATCACAAAAGTCAAACTATTTTTGCCTTATGGATAAATATTATTTTGTAATATTCATTTGTTGTGTATTCCTCGGTATTTGTATATAAATTATCTAGATTGTGGGAACGTAAATTTATAACTTACAACCAAACATCTATTTTAAAAAAATTTAACTATAAGCTCAACTTAAATGTTATACACAACAAACAAGTAAAATTAAATTCATGTGGAAATTTAGTCGTTATCGTCAAAAGTGGGATGTCAAGTCTCAAAACGACCGCACGAAGGATGCGGTTGTGCCTTTCCCGAACTCAGCCCAGACTTAAATTAACGGGACTGCTTGCGGCAAGTACGGCGATAATTTTCCCTGTCGATAATACCCGCCGATTTCGTTCCGTTTAAAATTGAAACTTATCCGAACTCTACGTGAAACTTTATAAAGTTGCTGACTTCAAAAACTATGCACAGCCAGATCGCTCTGCCGTGTAAAACACAAAAAAAAATATTTTAAAAAATCTAAAATAGATGGTTAAAAATTAATTGAGAAATTAGTTTATATCATTATCGACTGTATTTTTTTATTTTCTTAATTGTTGGACTTCCCCTATTGAAAGAGTAATACTACATTGCTTATCCTATATCACACAATTAATAAGTCTACTTGGTTCAAAGGTTATTACAAAATTTACCATCTAAATTTACGCTCCTTGCTTGTGCATCTCGGATCATACACCTGCCTTTGATACTTGTTTATGGCATGGAATCACTTTTTTTTTTAAGTCCACTTCTCTACGTTATTTTTCCGTTTTTTTTCTGGACGGTTGCCCTGTTTCGTTCCAGTTGTTGAATATTTTATTATGTTTGTCTGAACGATTTGATAAATTGGTGCAGTTTCCAGTTGAAACTATATAAAAAAATTTCTTCCAGTTTGCCAAACTTAGACCAAATAGGATCTTTGAAACGCATTAACTAAATTTTCCTCCCAATTTGTCAAGTCTGTTGAAAATACAATTACAAATATCGCTTTAAAAGAATTACAAGAAGAATTGAATAAAATGCGGTCTGAAATAAAA